GACATCAAAGAGGAGAAACAGCTCATAGTGTGGCAGGGCAGGAAGAAGGCTGCAAGCAGAAAGCAAGGTCAACACCAGAAGCAACAGCAGCAGCAAGCTTTCTTTCTGCCCCTTTTATTCCATCCAGGCTACTTACCCTTTGGGCGAGTAGCACTCACACTTGGTAGAGCACACTTAATTCCAGTATCACACACCCTAGTTCCAGCCACCTCTGCAACGCCCTACTTATGACCACAGGAGGCTCTGGGGAGGACATCTAGACACAAACCATAATGAGGGATTCAGCTCATTGTGAAGGCCTGGGTTCAATCCCCAGTGCCACAAAAAATTCCACTATAGAGCAAATGGATTTAACAGACATCTATACAGTATTTCAAAAGAAAGATGAAAGAAGGAAAGAAGGAAGGAAGGAAAAAAGAAAGAAAAGAAAAGAAAAGAAAAGAAAAGAAAAGAAACCAATGTTCCTGAAACTACTCCAAAAAATAGAAAGGGACAAAAATCTTTCTAACTCATTCTACAAAGACAGTTTTACCCTGCTACCAAAAGCTGATAAGGACACAGAAGCAACAATAACAAAAGAAAAGAACAGAACAGAACAAGAACTATTCAAGGGTGATAAAAAAACTACAGTAAGTGCTTAAATTTGAAAAAATAAACATTACAATAACGGTAACTGCCGAGAATGATGAAATAAATATGTTTGAGGAGTATTTAGAATATTTTGAGGATTAATGGCAATGTGTCTTTTTATTGTAACACATTTTTTTAAATGTAAATATTGATGATATTTTTGGTCAACCTTTGTTGCCCAAATGTTTATGGCAATTTCTGTCAAATAAAACCATCACAGTGTGTTTTTACGCCCCTTATTCACTTGATCTGGCACCATGTGACTTCTGGCTCTTCTCCAAAATCAAAATGACTATGAAAGGTAAACATTTTGAATTGATTCAGGTTATCAAGCTAGCCACAACAGCATAACTAAAGACACTCACAAAACAGAATTTTCAGAACTGCTTCAGAAAGTGGCAAGAATGATGGGATAATTGTATTTTAAACGAAAGAAGTATTTTAGGGGTATTGATGGCATTGTGACTTTTACTGTGATAAAATTTTTACATTCAAACAGTTGCCATTTGTTTTGGTCACACCTCATAGACTGATACCCTTAATGAGCACAGATGCAAAAATTGTCATTAATATACTTGCAAATCTAGTTCGATCTAACATTAAAAGGATCATGCACCATGATCAAACTGGTTTTATTACAGGGATGCAAGGTTGGTTCAACACACACAAACCAATAAATATAATACACCACACAAACGGAATAAAGGTTAAAAAAAATAAAAAAGAAAGAAAAACAAACAAACACGATCTTCTCAATAGATACAGAGTAAAAGCTTTGAACAAGATCCACATCCCTTCAAAATGAATGGCCTGAAAATCCTAAGTATAGAAGAACCTTACATCCACATAATAAAGGTTATGTATGACAAACCCATGGCCAACATCAAACTGAATGGAAGAAAACTGAAAGCCTTTCCTCTGTAATCAGGAGAATGAAAAGGATGTTTCTCTCACTACTAGTTTTCAATATAATATTTAAAATGTTAACCAGAGCAACTAGGCCAGAGAAAGAAAGAAACAGGACACAAATAGGAAAGGAGGAATTCAAAATACACTTGTTTGGAGATGACATGATTGTATACCCAGAATATCCTAAAGAATCCACTAAAACTCTCTTAAAATTGATAAATTAAAAGTGGCAGGATACTAAATCAACATACAAAAAGTGGCATCTTTTTTATACACCAATAAAGAAGGTGCTGAAAAACAATCCCATACACAATGGCCTCAAGAAGCTCTAGGAATAAACCCAACCAAGGGGATGAAAGACCTCTACAATAAAAATTATATAATATAAGGAAGAAATTGAAAGACTCTAGAAGATGGAAAGACCTCCCATGTCTGGGGATAGGGAGAATGTAATAGTGTTAAATGGCCATATTCCCAAAAGTGATCTATTTATCCAATGCAATTTCCATCAAATATCAATGACATTCTCCACAGAACTAGGAAAAACATTCCTAAAAATTATTTACAAGCACAAAATAATCCCAACAGCCAAAACAATCCTAATCAAAAAGAGCAATGCTGGAAGATTTGCAATACTAAATTTCAAAATATATTATAGAGCCATTGCAAAAAAAAAAGCAATATATGCACACCCATGTTTATAGCAGCACAGTTTGTAATAGCTACATCTTGGAAACAACCCAAATGCCCATTAACTGACAAATGCTTAAAGAAGATGTACTTTATTTTTATACAATGGAGTACTACTTAGCCATAAACAAGGATAAACTTGAGACATTTCTAAGTAAATAGGTGCACCTTGAGACCATACTCTTAAGTGAAATAAATTCGACAACATGTATAAATATTGCACTGTTTCTCTGGTGTGAGAAACTGAAAGTGTAAATAAGGACCAAAATGTATAATAGATACTGTGAAATAGGAAGAAAATGTTCAAACGGGAAGGGGAACTAGGGAAGAGGGAGGGGAGAAGGAAGGAAGGGGAAAAATGAGAAAAGAAGGAAAAAATCAAAACAAAGCTTTTGTAAATAAGGAGGGAAAGAGGGATTGAAGGGAGGTTAGGGGAATGGGAAAAATGAAGAATCCAGATATATCATGTACAGGTACAAATTCCCTATGATGAATGTGATTATTATTTATATCTAAAATGTACCAATAAACTTAATTTAAAAATTGTGGTATAGGTATAAAAATAGACACTTAAACCAATGGAATCGAAAAAGAGGACAGAATAATAAACCCATGCATCTATAACCATCTGATTCCTAACAAAGGAGTGAAAAGTATATGTTGGTAAAAAAAAGACAGCCTCTTCAACAAACAGTGCTAGGGAAACAGAACATCCACCTATTGATAATGGTAACTAGATCCTTGTACAAAAATCAATTCAAATTGGATCAAAGACATTAATGTAAGACCTGAAATTTTGAAAATACTAGACAGAAACAGGAGAAACAATTCAACATATTGGTAAAGGAAATTATTCCTGAATAGGACTCCAATAGCTCAAAAAAATAAGAGACAAATGAGATTACATCAAATTAAAATGCTTCTATCTGGATGTGGTGGCATATATCTGTAATCCCAGCACTCTGAAAATCTGAGACAGCCGGATCACAAGTTTGAGCCCAGCCTGGGCAATTTAGTGACTTGGTGAGATCATTTGAAAAAAAAAGTAAAAAGGGCTAAAGGGAGAGGTATCATGGTGAACTAGAGGCAGCGGCACTCAGAAATCCTCAGAAGACGCTCACCAAGATCTGCTGGTACTCAGAATTAAAGAATGAACAAAAGCCAAACACAGGAAGGCACCTTGAAGGAGAAGCCCACCAGATGAATTCTAGTACCAAGGGTTTTTAGAGAAAGAAGCAGAATCACCTCTTGATCTCACCATTGCTTACAACCAGGTACAGTAGACATGTCGTCTTGGGAAAGGGAGAAGCCTCACCAAGGCCACTGCTATTGGTGCCCACATTAGCAGCCACTGACTAGCACCCACATGTGCTAGCTCTCTTCCCACTGGGAGATGGAGCAAGATATTTACAGGACAGAGCCTCCTCAAGGAAGGTGTGGGCCAGAGAAACATTCGGGACGGGGGGGGAGGTGACTGAGTTGAAAATGGAGAACCCTAGGGACAGAAAGAACAAGGGTCCTAGTTAGGAACCAAAATTAGGTATTGAGGGATCCGTGGGATGGTGAGTCACAGGGGCATGCAAGAGTCGTGACCAATGTGTTCCAAGGCTGGAGAAAAAAACACCAGAGCTGTGCCCAAGTGGGCACTGTCTCACCACTCCCCAAAATGCTGTGGAGCTCTTTGCCTGTGTGCTATGTTGCCTGCTGCCTGCATTCCAAATGCTGCAGAGCTCAGCACCCATGCAGAATTGATTCCACCACCCACCAAAAGCTGTTGAAATATGCACCTAGGTGATCTCCCTCCAAGTAACCCTCAAATACTATTGAATTCCTACCAGAAGGGCCCTCCTCATCAAGCCTTAAATGTCACTGACATCTCAGGCTTGATACAGATTTTTGAGAGGTGTAGTCAGAGAGTTTGGCATAGGCAGAAAGCAGAAGTGTGGTGCGGTCAGAAGGTGTTGCATGGCATGCTCACTTGGAAGGCTGTAGATAGAGCAGACATGAGTATCATGGAGGGAAGAAGACAAAGGTTGAGAGAATCCCTCCAAGGATCAGCAGAAGACTCAGTGCTTAAACCAACCAGCCACACTGTGACTCTCTCTGCCCCTATACAATTAAATATGTCTAATCGTAAGACGGAAGCAAAAATCTCCAGCCAGTCACATACTCAAGAGTGCAGCTGAAACTGAACAGAGCTCTGGCTACAGAGGGAACAAGAAGCAGACTCAGCAGTTTATCTGGATCTCCCAGGCACTTCGCTCATTGGTAAGCAAACGGTAGTTGTTTTCTCCTTGCAAAGCGGTGACCTGGACTGACTGTATTACACTGAGAAGGATAAAAAGGTATGGGAATACCACAACATAACCAAAGTCAAGGTCAAATCACACACTAACTAGAGATCTCCACAGTAGGGACACAGTTTTTCTACCCTAACTGATCTTCAACCCTAAGCACAAGGACAATAGGAACATGAGAAAACAAGGCAAAATATGCCTCCAAAACTCTTAACTCCCCAAAAGATGATTGAGTGGGCATTGAAGTGGAGGAAGTTTCTGGCAAAAGACTAAAAAAGCAAATGGTTAAAATGTTTGAAGAGATCAAAGAAGAAACAAATGACCAAATGAATAGGACATTCAATGAGCTTAAAGAAGATGTAAATAAATAGATAAGGGTTTTAATTTATGCAGTGATCAATAACCTTAAAAAGACACAAACAAAAGTTGATTAATTAAAGAAGGCAATGCAAAAATTTTAAAGAATTAGAGATTATGCAGAGGAATCAAGCAGAAATCTTGGATATGAAATATGCAATTGAAAATATGGGCAATGAGAATGACCAGTCTGAGGAAAGACTGTCAGAACTTGAAGATAATGTTGATGTAATAGAGCATACACACAGTGATACCTACAAACAAGAAACCATGAAGCTGGATCCAACATGCTAAATGACAAAAAAAAGAAAAACTAAAAAAACAGAAGACATAAGCATTACAGGAGTTAGGGAAAGAATAGAATATGACACCAAAGGTATAGAAAAAGTATTCTTCAAAATATAGCAGAAAAAGTTCTAAATCTAGGGAAATAATTTAATAGCCAGGTAAATGAGGCATATATTACCCCAAATATCCCTGACCAGAAAAGAATCTCTCTGTGACACATCATAGAGAAAATCCCAGAAATTCAGCACAAAGAGAGACTACTAAAGGCTGCTAGGGAAAAACATCAAGTAACTTAAAAGTGAAAGCCTATTATAATAATAGCTTATTTATCAGTACAAAAGTTTTTCAAGACCTAAAAGAAAATAATTGCCATTCCAAATTACTATATCCTACAAAATTGACAAAGAATTAAAGACTTTTCATGTAAAAAGAATCTAAAGATATTCCTGACCAGCAAACCAGCATTGCAAAAAGTATTGAATGGAGGGCCAGAGATCTAGCTCAGTGGTTCCGCCACCTGCCTCGCAAGCACAAGGACCCGAGTTCAATCCCCGGTACCAAAAAAAAAAAGTACTGAATGGAATCCTAGACAGAGTTAGGCCAATATCACTAAACAGTCCAAAAGAAAAAAGTATATCTAAGTGGGAGAGTAGTTAAACAAAAGGAAAAAATAAAGAAATCAGCACTGGAAAAATAATGTAATGACAGGATTCAATAAATACCTTTCAATAATAACACTCCATATAAATGGTTTTAACTCTGCTATCAAAAGGCACAGACTGGCAGATAAAAAGCCAAAACCAACCATGTGCTGCATGCAAGAGACATACCTCATCCACATAAACAATCAAGCAAATGAACAAATACATACATTGAAAGGACAGAATATGAGCTTTTGGAGAAGCCTTAAGAAAAGATGAGAGAACAAGAAAATTTCATACAACAGCTACCAGATGACACAAACACTAAAGTAAGGTTAAATGGAGTTAGAGAGAAATTAGAAGACAGCAACATGGAATAAAAATATGTTTACAGAAATCATAATGGAAAATTTTACAAATATGAGGAAAGATTTCAACATATAGGTAAGCTACTATGATGAAAAAAGATACTCCCCATGACACATATTATTCAAAATCCCAGATGTCCAACAAAAGGACAGAACCTTAAAAGCTGTCAGAGAAAAGCAAAAAAAAAATCACCCATAAAGGTAAACCCCTCAGGAATACAGCAGACTTCTCAACACAAACTTTAAAGCCCAGAAGAGCTTGAAGCAAAATGTTTCAGGCCCAAAAAGCAAACAAATTTCAACCCGGACTAATATATCCTGCAAAACTATCTTTCCAAATAAATGGAGTAATAAGGACATTCCATGACAAAAAAACACCTCAAGAGATACATGAGAGCTACGTGAAAACTAAATATCCTAGACAGAGACAATGAAGCCAATGAATCTATCAACTAAAAAAAGCCCAGGACCTGATGGTTTCACTGCTGAATTCTATAAGAACTTTAAGGGTGTTTTAATACCAATAACCTACAAAATCTTTCATGAAATTGAAAGGGAAGGAGTGCTTCCAAACTCTTTCCAGGAAGCCAGCATTACTCTGATCCAAACCAGAAAAAGACCTAACTAAAAAAAGAAAAGTACAGACCAACCTTCTTAAATGAATGTAGGTGCAAAAATCCTCAATAAGGTATTGGCAAGTAGAATGCAACAAATCATCAAAAGGATCATACAACATGACCAAGTAGGCTTCATCCCACGGATGGAAAGATGGTTTAGCCTGCCGAGATAAAAAATGTAATACATCACATGAACATAAGCAAGCACAATCACCAAACGATCACATCAGTAGATGCAGAAAAAGCTTTTGACAAAAATCTAACATCCATTCATGATCAAAACTCTGAAGAAAATAGGTATAGAAGGACCCTTACATCAATCTGATAAAAGCCATTATGACAAACTGAAGGCCAACATCATATTAAATGGGGAGAAGCTGAGCGCTTTCCCTCTAAAATCAGGAACAGGACAAGAATGTCCACTACCACTACTCCTGTTTGATATAGTTCTCAAAACATTAGCCAGAGCAATTAGGCCAGAAAAAAAGGATAAAAGGGATACATATATATATACATATGGAATTAAATTATAATTATTTGCAGATAAAATGATCCTTTACATAGGAAACACAATTTCATCAAAAGACTTCTAGAATTAAGAACTAAATCAAGTAATGTAGCAGGATATAAAATCAACACACAAAAAATCAATAGTGCTCCACTCACTGAGAAAGAAATTAGGAAAACTATACTATTCTCAATAGCTTCAAGAAAAATTAAATACTTTGGAGTTAACCTAACCAAGGACGCGAAAGACCTCTACAAAGAAAACTGCAGTACTCTGAAAAAGGAGATTGTAGAGGACCTCAGAAAATGCTAAGATATCCTCTGTTCCTGGACAGGCAGAACCAATATAGTCAAAACGACCATACTCCCAAAACTGTTATACAGATTTAATACAATCCCAATCATAATACCAACAGCATTCCTCACAGAACGAGAGAAAAGAGTCCTCCAATTCATATGAAACCAGAAGACACCCAGAATAACAAAAGCAATCCCAGGCAACAAGAGCAAAGGAGGAGGCATCATAATGCTTAACTTCAGGTTTTAATACAAAACTACAATGATAAAAACATGATATTGGCACAAAAAGGACTTGTGAATCAATGGAATAGGATTTACAATGTAGAAGTGACTCTAGACCCATTCAGCCACCTGACTTTTGACAAAGGGGCCAAAAACATGTGCTGGAGGAGAGATGGCCTCTTTAGCTAATTGTGCCAGGAAAACTGGCTATATGCATGCAGAAGATTGAAGTTAGGCCCATATCTCTCACCATACACTAAACTAAAATCAAAATGGATCAAATATCTAAAGATGAAAACAAAACACTTAACCTACTGGAAGATAAAATAGGTAAAATTCTTGAAATCATAGGTATAGGAAAGGACTTTTTGAACAGAACACCAGTTGCACAAGAAATAACATCAAGAATCAATTGGGGCCGGGGATTTAGCTCAGTGGTTTCACCGCCTACTGTGCAAGCGCAAGGGCCCAAGTTCGATCCCCGGTACCAAAAAAAAGAATCAATAAATGAGTCATATCAAATTAAAAAGCTTCTGCACAGCAAAGGAAACAACTAACAGAGTAAAGAGACAACCTAGAGAACGGGAAAATTTTTGCCAACTATTCCTTGACAGAGGCCTAATATCTAGAATACATAAAGAACTTAAAAAATTACACCTTCCAAAAATAAAAGACCCAATCAAAAAATGAGCCACTGAAATCAATGCCTACATCTCAGAAAAAAAAGTAGAAATGGCCAATAAATGCTTGCAAAAATGTTCAACTTTGCTGGCCATTAGAGAACTACAAATTAAAACAACACTGAGATTTCATTTTTCTCCAGAAGAGTGGCAATCATCAAGAAAACAAATAATAACAAATACTGGCATGACTTTGCTGAAAAAGAAAGCCTCCTACATTGCTGGTGGGAATGTAAACTAGTACAGCCATTATGGAAATCAGTGTGGAGGTTTCTCAAAAAACTGAAAATAGAAATTCCATTTTAGAAATTCCTAGAAGCTGTTCCCCTTCTAGGTATCTTCCCAAATGAACTAAAGACATCATATTACAGCAATACATGCATACCAATTCGTAATAGCTTAATGTTGGAAGCAAACTATATCTCTTTCACCAGATGAATGGATAAAGAAAATGTAGTATTTATACATAATGGAATACTACGTGGGTATAAAGGATAAATTTGAGACATTTATAGAAAAATGAATGCACCTTGAAAACATAATGTTGAATGAAATAAATCAGACACACAAGCTTAAATAACTTAAGAGCAAAAGAAAAGATTGATAAAAGCGAACAGGGCAAAAAAAAAGCGAATAGGGAACTAGATCTTTTGCAAATGTGAAGGGGGAGTCAAGTGATGGAATGTGGGGTAGCAGGGCAGAGTATAGGATGCAAAAAGATTTAAAATGCATCATGTACATGTACCAAATACAATGAATGTAATCATTATGTGTTGCAAACATGAACTAAAAAAATTAAATTAAATTAAATTAAAATGAAGGAAAGAGATCTAGAGAAGGAGGGAGAGAGGAGGGAGTGGAGGGAAAGGGAAATGAAAAGAATCAAGATATGTTAAATACATGTACCTACTCCCTAAGATGAATGTAAACATTATGTGCTACAAACATGTACTAATAAAAAACTTAAAAATTAAATAAAAGCATTCTCTCTAAAATCAGCAACAAGACAAGGAAGGGGTTCTAGTCTCATCACTTCTGTTCAACATAGTGCTCAAAACTTTGGTCAGAAAAATCACACAATAGAAAGAAATAAAAAGGGAATGAACAGGAAAGTAAGAAATGAAACTACTTTTATTTGCAGATGACGTGATCTTTTTCATAGAAAACAAAACAAAAAACCCCCCAAAACTCCACCAGAAGATTCCTAAAACTAATAAATTCAGCAAAGTGGCAGCATATAAAATCAATACACAAAAATCAATAATATACCTGTACAGCAACAATGAACCCACTGAGAAAGAAATCAAGAAAACAATGCCATTCATGGTAGCTTCAGAAAATTTAACTACCTAGGAATTAACCTAACTGAAAATGTGAAAGAAATGAAAACTATAGTACTCTGAAAAAAAGAGATTGAAGAGAACTTTAGAAAATGGAAAGACATTCCCTGTCCTTGGATAAGCAGAACCACTATTCTCAAAATGGTCACATTACCAAAAATGATATATAGATTTAATGTGATTCTAACCAAAATGCCAATAGCATCCTTCACAGAACTAGAAAAAAATCTTAAAATTTGCATTGGACCAGAAGATATTCAGAATA